AAAAAAAAAAAAAAGGAAAAAAAAACCATTTATGTATATAAATTGTTTTGATCGAAAATTAAAAAAATGATAAATATCATTTCTTGCAAGAAAAAAAACCATAATTTTGCACGTCAATTTAAATATTTTCTGTATTTCCAATTTCTATTTATTTTCAATATATATTTCTGTATATCCGACCAAAATTGAAAAAATCCAAAATTATATTTAAATTATATTTCCAAAAAAAAAAAGAAGAAAAAAAAAAAAAAAACAAGGAGCAAACTCGATCTTTCACCTGCATCCATATACCGACATCAAGGAACGAGTGCAAAAAACAAGAAACCAAGAGCCACACATCTTGAATGCTCGAACGGGACACGCTTAAAAAAAGAGCTGAAAAAAAAAGGGTCTTGAGCTTGAGCTCTGAGAAGTGCGCGCAACACCTCGACACGCCGCGCTTGCCAACCCTGAAACAACTCGCACAAAACTCCACGATCCTGCCGAACCCTTTTTCCTCCAGCTTTCACTGTACAGTAGAACACTGAGCTGAGTGCTAGCATCAATGAAGGATTTGATGATGCAAACGGATTACCAGCATTTGACCCCAACGTAGCCTGATCCAAGCGTCTCTCTCTCGAATACCATCAGAGCTTTCCCCAAGCGGCCAGCCTCTCGATTTCGCACCTGCTCACTTCTACTAAGAGGACTGGGAAGTCAAGTACCATGCATACTCAGCTGGAGCTTGCTAGTTCGTAGCTTGCTTCAATTGAGGACGATTTGGGGAATCCAGACCTTCAAGCAAACCGATCATCCCGTTCATAACAGAAGAGATGTTTTTTAGAATGTCCAGAAATCACATGATCACGCAATATGTCGCTGGAATAGAAATACCTTCGCGCAACAAAACTGCAAAGATGGCAGACGGTGTTCAATTCGTAAGTCAAAAGAAATGTGCAGATTGCTCAAGAGACGTGCTTTCCGTGGCTCATGAGGTTTAGGGATACAGGGAGGGTACATTTTGTGAGCCGAGGGGGGCCCGTTGATTCATGTACTGTAGGGATTGTTTTGAGAATGCCTCCATGTTCATGATGAGAACCCAGATGGTCGCAACAACGCTGTGCACAAGAACATCAACGATAACATCCAATCGTCAGAGACAAGAACAATTACAAGGACTGGTGACTTAAGATAAAAAGCTTGTACGTTGACAGAATTCTGAGCTTCTAAA